CCTGTTATGATTCGGTCGGTTATTAAACGAAACGAAATTCTAAAGGCTAAAATAAATGGAAAAACTCGAAGTGACTGAAATAAACTTTACTATCGCGAAAATGAAATTGCCGGTAATAGAAAAATAAACTCTAAAATATTCTTGGTGATTAAACGCGAAATAAACTAACACTCCCGTCCGTGTCATAAACGGACCTTCGAGAATCATCGCGAACGGTGTTCCGCATCGGTCGGAACAAGAACCAAATTGTAAAAACTGTAATTCGACCTTAACGATCGATCACATTTTAGCAAAGTGTTAAAAATACGAAGAAATAAGGATAAAATTATCAAAGAACAATTAAATGACGTTGAATCGTACACAAAAAAAACATTACGATTTTTAACAGAAATAGGAATCGTGAACCTTATATAATACACCGATTCAATGATTAGACATACATTTTGTATAGGAGTTTCAAAACATACTGCACATTACATGGAGTATAAATAAAATAAAATAAGTAAAAAAAAAATAATTACGTGAAAAGAAATATAATACAGACGCATGTTTACTTTTGGACTAGCTACAAATCAAAAGCATTTAATTCTATAAATGACAGTTAAAACCGTTCTTAGATTAATCTTTTTGTTATTGACAAATCTCAATCGTTCTTAAAGAAAGTTATAAATTAGCTTTTACATAAAATCATTAAATAAAGCAAGTAGCATATTTCTGTATAAGTTATAGCAGTTATATGCTTATACAAAATATTTTATAAACATAATTAGACTCAAATCAGGGGTATATAACCAGAAGACAAAAGTCGTGACTCGAACTACCAAGCTATGACGCCACTTCCTGCTCTCGCCATCAGAGGACTATGCTCTTAACTCTCTCGCAGGTGGTCGATCAACCTTCTAATCGTATACATAATCGTATGTGTACAGGGTATTAAGTCATCCCTGAGAAAAATTGTAATAGGATATTCTAGAGGACAAAAATCAAGAATACCTATTTGTTGATGGAGGCTTCGTTAAAAAGTTATTAACGTTTAAAGTTACGCCCGTACTGAATTTTTTTCTAGAAAATGCGCAGAATTTCGGGGGTATGTCTATTGACCACAAATTATTGTAATTCACCCATGCAACCGAAAATAATTTTTCCAAATCGATTTGAAATTTTTTTTCTCGCCGAAAAATTTGTCCACCTTCCTGAAATTTTTTCTCGAAAGTACGTAGGATTTCGGGGGTATGTGTATTCACCAAAAATGGTTGTATTAGACCCAAAAACCTAGAAATAATTTTTTTAGAACGATTCGAAATTTTGTTTTTCGCCTTATCGTTTTTTCTTAAAAATTCGTTCTTCATTTTTAGGAATTTTGTTTGACGCTCACCTGAAATTTTGTCTAATCCTTTTTTGTAGGTGCCCATGAACTCACTTCAGAGAAAAGTTTCATTGAAATATATTCACTATTCTAGAAGTTATGGTCGTTTGAGAATTGGAACATTTTTACAGGGTTTTCTCACTTTACGGAGTCAAGGAACAACGTTTCGAATATTCTTGGAATATCTATATATTTTCCACTAAAATTCGTGTTGTTTGCCTTTTGAAACATTAAAATCGTCCAATTTTCTCACAAATTATGACATTTTAAAGATACGCGTGAAATTTTAGGGAAGCATTTCTAACCTCACATTGGATTTTCGGTAAGGAATTTTTTTCTCGAAACTGAGTAGGATTTCAGGGGTATGTGTATTCATAAAAAATGATTGTAATTGAGCTCGGCAATAAAAAATAATTTTCCCAGTACGATTTGCAATTTTTTAATAACTTATTGACGAAGTCTCAGTCAAGAAATTGATACTCTTGATTTTCGTCTTATTTTGGCCTCTAGAACCTCCCATTAAAATTTTTCCCAGGGTTGGCCGAACACCCTGTATACCCTCCTCGAATATCCCTGTGCCTAAGGCAGGGCTCACTATAAAGTCGATGTATTATTAAACCAATGAATATCGCCCGTTGGATAATTAAAATTGTCCAAAGGTGGTGGATCGTCGCTAAGATTCGTATTTACGTGAAATTCATCTTCGAACTTCGCGAGCAACAGTTTCGTTCGTCGTTGCACGGAATCATCGTTGCATAATGCCTCGGGCCCCCGCGTCTACCGTACGTAATTCTCGCGGAGGGCTCGTACAATTAGGGAAATGAAGACGGATCCTCGTATCGAATCCAACGGAATCGATGCAGGAAAATTCGAAAGACCGTCGTGTGTGGTCGTCCTTGCACGCGCGCGCGTGTATGCACGTACGATGCCGTTCCACGGCGGGTCCGAATGTCATTTCATTACGGGACCGATTTGATTATGCAGATCCGAATTTACCGTTCCTAATTCGCCATTACTCGCGACAATCCGCGGCCATTGCGAATAGAAGCGCCTCCCTTCCCCTCTCCAGACGAGCATAATTATATTTCTCCTGTCGCGCGAATCTTCCAGAACGCTCGTCGGCTAATTCGCTCGAAATTTACGGTTCAAAGCGTACACTCCCCTTCCCCTCTCTCCCTCTCTTCCCGCCACTGTTGACGGGTTTTTTTTCTCTCGCGACGCTCCGCGAATGCTCGTCGAGCACGGTTTAATAGAATTTTACGAGTATACAAAGTTAAGTAGGGTGGAAGCGGAGTTTTATCGATTCGCGTCGAGCTGCGAACTCGTTCCTTGTATCTTTTCGTCGAACACCTTCGGTCTAATTATTTTCAGAACGTACCGTCGAATTGACGACCCGATCGGCGAACTTTTTATCGCGAGACACGCCCCCCGCCGAGCATAAAATTCCTTTATAAAGCGACGCGCGAAGAAGACGGACGCTGTGATTTATTTGCCAACGTCTTTTCCGTTATATCGACGCTCAGAGCCGAACGGTTTCCAGTGCCGAGGCGTAAGGGAACGGGGAAATATCGGTACCTTTGTCGCCGTTCGTACCGTTGATGTGTCTAATTTGTTCGTTCGGTCTTCCGGTCGCGTTGCGTCGTCGCTCGAACGAGACGAGCGATTGTTTTACCCTTGCGTCGATAAATGCTCGCCTTGGTGATAAAAGGAACGGTTAGACTCGCAGACTTATTAATTATTTACCTTTTTATCCCTCCGAACGGTAAACGTTTCATCGGATGGATTTGCTTGCGAGTTATGTATTTTCCGTTTAACTTGAGAGGATCGATGACAAAAGGAGCAAACGGGTATAGTCCGAGCCACGATACAGCGAGGTCGTAAACTAAACTCTTGAGGGTTGGGACCGACTACTGCTGCGGCACTTAGAGCCGTACATGACATCTTGCTTGAGGGTGCCTTTCTGAATGTCTTTCTGTGTCCGTAACTGCACTATCTTTTTTCATTTTCTACATGCATATACTATAAGCAGGCAAATTAAGATATTAAAGACTTCACTAAGACCTTTACCTGTTACGATACTAAAAATGGCGACACTAAATATAACATTTCTTCGTACGGCCCTGACTATGGTCTAAGGCCCTTAGCTGCTCGTATTTCTGTCAATTCACTTGTTTCGGGAGCTGAAACGTGTAAACTTTGAAACCTACTCGAGTTTACGACCTCGCTATATCGTGGTCCGGACTATACAAATTAAATTCAACTTTAGACGTATCGATAGATAGGCCAAAGAAAACATTTTCTACCGAATATTAACCCGTCACCCGTATTATTAAGGCAGTTACATAGCAAAATGTAATTTACAGTTTAAGTTCCATTTTTGCTATTATATGGGGAAGAAATTACGAAAAAGGTCGTAGACATTCTACTCGAAGGCGTATACATTTCTGAATTTTTTGGTCACAAAACGAAAAAAGATTTGAAAATATCGATATTTATATTGATGTTATGCACAGTTCTCAGACTTTTAATCCTCAGAAGCGTCACCACAAAATTATTTTGAAGGTAGTTGTTCACGTTGAAAACAATTTTTTTAATGCAAAGGGTTAATATTCAAGTTTCAAAATATAAACAATGTTACCGTAGATCCTTGATGAGTATTATCAATTTCGTGATATTTAATAAGTTATTAAATAATAACTGAGTGTATAAATAATTCTTATTCAATATTAACATAATCTCCATTATTTGGAGAATTGTGTGACATAATTGCATTTGCTAAGTGTGTCGATGTCAAAATCGCTAACGTAGCGATTAACCTTTCGTACAATACGAAAGCCCAAGGCGAAAGGCGGTTTATTGTTGTCACGAAGATTCATTTACTTCGTCGAATGGTCGATTGCATTTATTTAGTAAATATGTCGGCATTCAAAGGCGTGCCGCATTAAACAAATTAAGCAGCCTCGGTCTGAGTCGAGCCGTATATTGCAACGTCGGCGAATGGTACACGCGGCAATTTTGGATCGTTAGGCACCGTTGTCCATCGTCGACTCGCAGAACAATACTGGTCGTAAACCGCCACTCTGACCAGACAGTCTGCTCGATCGCGTTCACATTTGACGTGCACGTGTGGCGCGTTTTTTCTTTCAAAATTTTCCGCGCCCCAAGAGAAAAGTTTCCTGCACTTTCGGATTTACTAAAAAGGCTTCGTTTCTTTGGGTTAGTCAGGTGTGACCTTGTGGTAAAGACAAAATAACTTCGAACGAATCTAAACGTTTTTATTCACTTTTTAGCACTCTTCAGTACATCTACAATGTTAATGATACGCACAGAAATTTTTAAATCTTTTTAATCGTTAGTTGAAATTACGTTGGAAGAAGAGGATATAATAAATATGAATTAAAACGAAGAATATTTTTAATCGTTGGTTGAAATTATGTTGGAAGAAGAGGATATAATAAATATAAATTAAAATGAAGAATATTTTTAATCGTTAATTGAAATTACGTTGGAATAGCAGGATATAATAAATATAAATTAAAACGAAGAATATTTTTAATCATTAGTTGAAATTACGTTGGAAGAAGAGGGTATAACAAATATAAATTAAAACGAAGAATAAAATTGTTTTGTCAGTAATAAAAAAATATATTTAGTTGAAATTTTGTAGGAAGAAGGATATATGGTAAATATAAATTAAAACGAAAAATAAAATTGTCTCATTAGTGGTAAAAGTATGTTTTCGATTATTGATGGAATAAAATATGTTGTAGAAAATTATATCAGTGGTAGAGATATTGCTTTAAAGAGATCTTCTGCTGTAACACACGTCTTTTTACGTCTTTTTTGGCATTTTTTTATAAAGAAACTGCGCAAGTTCTTGCATCAACGTTTCACATATATTTTTAGTGGCCTTTTGGTAATACTTACAAATTTTTACAATGAGAAATAGTCAAAATTAGTGGCAGTACAGAGCCTCGCACGCAGTCGCGTTCCGAAAAGTGTTCTAATGGCTTCCATGATTCTAATTTGTTTAAAATAAAAAAATGAAAAAGATTCTTAATTAGGATACATTGATCTATAGCCGGTATTAGAAGTAAAGAAAAAAGTTGATAATAAAGAAATGGCAGCATTTTGTAGTTGAAATGTCGATTTTTTCCTTGTTTTTAACGTTAGCAGGCTAAAAAAAAATAGACAGAATAATGATTTTGACTTCATTCATGTACTAAAGGTGCACACCAAATTTGAATAAAATCGGTCAAGTAAATCTTGAGATATCATGGAAGCCAATTCAGAAAGTATAGTTTTGAGAAAAACGTGTTTAAACAGAAGGATCAGAGCAATAGGTATACCTTCGTTAATTTTAGGAGTTCAGTGATATGCTTTTGCACACATATTTCTAAGCCTATATCCTTCAAGAAAATGCAAAAAAATATCGATTTTTTTGACGAGTTACAGTAGAAGACCCCCTTAACTTCTGCACAAAAACGAAGAACAGTGAAGTGTTTTTATCTTGTGAATTGGTTCTTCCATTATAAGTTTTTAGTCCTTAACTTTGTACAAAATTCATCGGAATAGTTGGTTTTTACTGGAAGCCCTTCTTCTATACCTTCTTGCGCATAATTTTGTATCCAACTTACGTTAAAAGAATAAAGATGGGTCCTCAGTGCAAACTTATCCGAAGAACTTTAGGAGTCTAAAGACCTCTAAATTTAAGTGCAATTGTATCCAAATGAAGCCTGTTATACAGAAAAGTGTTTAATCATTTTAATAAATATTAAATTATAATTATATCAAATAATATATCAACATAGACAAAAGTAGAAAACCACACTGAGACTCGATATCTTTCTAAGTTAAAATTATTAATATAAAATATGTATTTGACGATGAAATTGACGGCTGAATCTTCTAAATTTTCTCTGGAAATTTTGTTCAATTAATTTACTCTCATAGCACCACAAAGTTTTATTTCACTTCCAACTCGTTCAATGTTCCCGAATGAATATCACGTAACAAGGTATAAATGAGGCAGTAAATACTTTTTAAATCGGGAAACTTGGACACAACGTGATGCAACGGTTAATTTCATGAAAACTGTTTCCGGATAAAAATTTCCTCGCTCTGGAATAACATCTCCACCGTTAGGAACACAACGTGACGTTCTCCATCGATTTACAGGAACCCCCGCGTTGTCGTCGAATCTTTATTTTATTATTCACGCGGCCCTCATCGACGATATTGCAGAGGACACACCTCCGTTCGATATCAATATTAGACCATCTGGCATTCCATTAAAATTCGCATCATCGAAAGCACTCTCGTCGGAGAATCTATTCCATATTTTCGCGTTATCGATAGAAGACGATTCTCGCGTTCGATCGGGCAACTACGCCGCTATAAAATGCTACGTTTACCCCGATGGGAGTATCGAGGAGGGAAAGAAATTCCAGGAGGTGGTAAATCTCGTACCTGCTAGTGTTACGGGCGATACTTAATCGGATGTATGTCAAATTCACGTTGCAGAATCTTTTAAATTGTGTGACGCGTTAAAATGTGTTCGCGAGGAGTTCGTAACTGGTTTTGAGAGCTTCGACAAAGAATGTATAGTAGAATTATTTTAAGCTAAGCTTCGAGGGGCGGGCAGTAGGCGGAGTCGAGGTTGGGTATGGACCCAATCGCGCTGCAGAGCTGGGCACAGAACTCACGCAATAATTACTTGTCTTATTTTAATCAAAAAATAAAAATAATACACAAATTTTTATTTGAAATAATAACTTTTAGTCAAGATCACTTTCCTTAAAGAATCGTTAGTAAAATAGAAGCTTAGAAATTGTAGATATTTTGCCCATTGGCTTGTTGATATTGACATTTTGTAGATGTTATTTGATTATTTGTTTATATATTTGTTTATTCATGAATATATAAAATTAAATTATATATATATATATAATTAGTATAAAATTATTACAATTAAAAGATTTATAATCATAAATATTTATATATAATTGTTTTTTTAATTTGTTTATTAATTACATTATTAAATATTTATTTTACAATATCTTTTAATAAAAGTCGAGAAAAAATTTTACCAATTGAATGTGGATTTAATTCTTTAACAAGTAGACGATTACCATTTTCTAATAATTTTTTAAAAATTTCATTAATTTTTTTAATTTTTGATGTTGAATTTATTTTAATTTTACCAATAATATTTTGTAAACATAAAAATATTCAAATATTGATTTTAGTTTGAAAACATTTGTTGTATATTGGAAATATTGTACAATTATACTTCTATCCATTCGCGGAATACAAATAGACTATTATTTTGAAAATTAATTCGCAAAACGTTCTTCGAGGTGGTCAGAATGCATCAACGTCATATTCCGCCATTTTATGATAGGCGTGGTACAGTAACGTCGTTAATTATTAATAAGATTCGTTGCTATGGAACATCGCCTCCATGGAGACGAAGGTTGTTTTGATGCGTTAGCAAAAAACAGTAACGTACGTAACAAAGGACGGAACATACCACGAGTCGGTGCTCGTACGGTTGTATAATAATTAACGAGGGGTTGATGGTCATTGCGGATATCAGAGTTAATTGGAATTATTAATATTTTCCACGATCTTCATCGCGAGCATTACCGACGGATTTGTGAGATTTTTCCGATAAAAACGAATCCAAACACGAGTTCACTCAAAAGCACGCGTATTTGCAGAATTCAGAAGGGATTCGTATAATGTGCAATTAAAAATAATCAATATCGATACCGCGTTTTAATTTTTTTTCTATGAAAATATCTCGGCCGTCCATTGGTAATACCCCGAAGGTGATGTAATGGAAAGAATAAAAATGTTCATTTCCATTAGTGAACGAGTTATTCCGCGTGCTGTAGGAGTCGTTATCGGCTGTTTTAGCCGGCTCTGGCTCATTTTTATTATATCCAGTTTATTGTTCTCGTCTAATGGAACATACGAGCTAGAAACGGTGTACTTCAATGTTCGATTTCTATATAACAAACGCGTATTTCAATTTTGAGACTTTTTTGGTATATAAATATTCGATAAAATCGACGGTAACCGAGATGTCAATCCACTTATTAATTCCAGTGGTCCCTTTCTAAAGCTCTGGAGTGGAATAAGAATGTTACAGGTACTAAAGGCGTTCATAAATCAAAGTACATACATAGTTTTTTTTCAGAAATTGTACGATTTCTACTCCCAGTAGAAAGTAGATTTTATAGAAGCTTTCGATTTGACATTAGTGTAGAGGAAAATTTATGTTATTTATTGGATTAAGGAAAAGATACTTTTAAACAGGAATTAAAATTGTTTATTAAACTTAAAAGCATGACGAAATATTGCACAAAAATGCGGTACACACAAATATATAACAATATGTATTTTAGCTCAATGCATATTTAGCGCCATTTTTTGAGGCCCAAAGTAAAGTAAAATATGGCGGCTAATTTAAAAATTGAAAGTCGCGATTGCAAGTCCAATATTATTCTCGTCGAAAAATCTCTTTGCCACGCTTAACTGGTAATACAAATTTTTACTAATTTTTATTACAAGTAACCAATATATTTAAAAAATTCTTTACTATCGCAAATAGCTCAGTTTTCGTTTGTTACTGACACGTTATCGTTACTTACAACAATGCAAGTAGCATGAAGTCGATTTGGAAAGTCAAACACAACGAAATTAGAACAAACTACACGAATTCTCGAAATTCGCCAGCTTCGTGATTGGAATAAATAAATCTTTTCCCGAGTCCCGGGGTATTTTTGCTCGAAATAAATAGCTCCGACTGGAAAGTGTTTCCATCGTGGAAGAAAATAATTTCGGTGAACCGAACAACATTCGACCGAGGGAGAACTATGTAAGGGGTGGGAATTTATCCCCCAACCGTCGCGAAAGTAGCCGAGAGCGTCCCATCTGGCGACAGAAGCGTGGTCAAGCATTTCAACGGAAGTCAGAGTTTCGCGTAAAAAGAACGGACCACGCTGCTGTTTTTCCTCAATTAGTTTCGCCCGTGCTCCCTGTACGTGCGTCCGGTTCGTCCTTTTTATAATACCTGAACGTTTTACGGTCGCGCAGCATCGAGTGCATAAATATTTTACGACTACGTAAGTTCCTTTTTTACCGTCCCCGTCCGATACTTGTTCCACTATTTTGCATACTTTACACGACCAGTACTTCGTTATTAAGTTTTCCTTGGTCGTTGGCTGGAGTATCGTCGGCTGAAACTTCCACTTTTTGGATATTCAAGACACTAATAACGTTTAAGAACTTGGTTTATCGAGTCTTATAAGAAATAGTTCGACGTTAGCCGTACATCGTTATTCGTGGATGGATAAATCTTAACATGAACATTAAATTTGAGTAAAATCAATTTATTACTCGTAGTTACAGCATTGGAAATTTTTCTGGAAAAAGCTGTACTCATATATGCTTCGTGTTACTATTTTTCGTTAGAGAAACTTTTTTTCTCTATATCGATGTAAACATTAAAAATGGTTTTTTGAATAAAACATGATGTTTGCTCTGATGCAAGTAAGCGAGAAGGAGGAAAGAAAAGGAAAAGAGAGGAGGTTGATGGAGCACTTGTGAGAAAGCTAGAGGTTAAGCGTAGTCATCTGGTGGCCAGAGCGGGAACTACCGCCACAATGTAAATGTCCATTACAATTCTAATATTGCGTTTTTCCATCTCTACAGAAGTACTGACACATATGAAAACATTCGATTTATAAATTATTTTATTTTATTGTAGCGTGGACGTAATTACTGAACCTCTGAATAAATAATAAATATATCGCTATAGAGACGACAGATACTGTGGGTTAATATAAATTTGAATTACGAAATAGGAATCACTAAATTGGTTGTTTACAAGAATTTTCTGTTTATTAAAAATTTACAGTAAGTTTGACTTTGCCAATGTATAGTAGAGTGAAAAAGAAAAAGTTCTAGCAAGAATTTCCAATCGTAAATCAAAATTCGCTGTTTAAATCGCACCAAGAATACGCGATGCAGTTCTTCAATCTTGCACACGTCCATGGAGTTTTCGAGCCTGACAGAAGCGAATTCGTGACTTTGAGACACGAGCGTAAAACTCGTTCTTGAGTAACAAAGGACTGTTTGAAGTGCATCACGTCGATTGGTACACCAACCTACGCGTATAATTTGTAGCCTTGTGCATACTTATTACATCCTTCCTGAGATGTGTTCGGAGAAAATTTCACGTTCCAGCAAATTCTTTGACGTTATGATGTATTTTTCACCTTACAGACGCACCTTCGTGTTAGATATATGTTAATTTTATTTATTTTCAACTTTAATACTTGAATTTTGTTGTATGTGTTTCTATTTAAATTTTCAACAATTTAAAGTTATATTTCTCTTAATATATTTATTGCTTTATTGCCGAAGGGTATAGGAATAATTTTCATAATTGTGGAAAATAAAAATAAATTTATTCAATTCAAGTTTTTACGTCTGTGCATGCAATGTGGAATGTGTTTCATCTTGAATAATAACATTATATGAAGTATTGTGATATATTTCTATACATTGTAATATTATGAGTGTTACGAGAATTTCAATAACCTCATAGATTATAGATTACTTGTTAGAAATTTGTTTAACATTTACAAATACTGAACACAGTGTCACAGAAATGGAATAAAGAAAAGACAATTAATATTTTCGAAATTACTTCGTGAAATAAGAT